CACCTTGCAACTGATGTCTAGTCTGCCCGTTCAATACGACCCCATTTGCGCGCCGAACCAAACAAACAGACATCACCAAGCGCTCAGAAAAATTAGGGCGAACACAACGGTGCCCACACGTCCTCAGCATCAGCCTTTTTCTTGGCTTCTGCGTCCATGGCCTCTTTCTTCTGGCGCTCCACCACGTCTTTCTTGTCTTGTTCCTCTGCCTTCTGGGAAACGGGAGGGGGCTGCACGTTCGTGTTGCAGCAGTCACGCCTATAACTACAAAGAGAAAGAGAGAGAGGGAGAGAGAGAGAGAGAGATAGGTAGTACGAGAGAGAGAGAGAGAGCGAACAAAAGAGTGAGAGAGAGAGAGAGCGCGGTCATGACCAGATCCTAATCCCACAAGCCCTCTGGGCGCAGGTGGTCTTACGACATATGCATTTCCTCTTCCAAAGCTCTCTTCCCTTCGGGGAGGGGTACCCTCTCCCCCTCCCTGAGGTTGTTTGGGGGATGTCGCGAGCGGTCTGGGCGCCCAGGATGGCCCAAGATAGCGCCAAGAGGGCGTCCGATGCTCCAAGATGGTCTCCAAGATGGCCTCCAAGATACTCGAAGATGGCTCAAAATGGCTTCCAACATTCTCCACGAGGCCCCGAAGACCGCTCCAAGACGGCTCCAAATGTGTTCGTACCCTCCCAAGCCCCCACCCGGAGGCCCAAATCCTTCAACAATCTAAACGAGATCATTGATATTTGCCGTCTCGCCTGTTCGTTTCCGATGCGCTTTTGAGGCCGTTAGATGGCCCCAAGGTAGCCCAAGAGAGCCCCAAGAGGAGCCCAAGAGACCCCGCAGACGGCCCCAAGAGCGCCCAAGAAGGGCGGCCCCAAGAGACGGTTTCGAGGGCTCGCGTGGGGGGGTCCAGATAATCGACACCCCCTTTAATCGATGGCCTTCAAGGTGGCCCCAAGAGGCCCTCCAGGTCCCCCAAGAGGGCATCAAGACTCTCCAACACAGCCTCAAGAGGAGCGCTGCCAGAGTCCTCGTCCTCATCCCGTTCCTCTTTGTCCTGCTCGTCCTCACCCACCTCTCCTCCTCCTCCTCCTCCTCCTTTTCCTCGTCCTCTTCCTCGTCCTCCTCCTCGTCCTCGTCTTTGTCCTCCTCCTCGTCCTTGCACTAGTCGACCTCCTCGTCTTGTTCCTCCTCTTCCTCTTCATCCCTCTTCTCCTCCTCCGTCTCGTCCTCTCGTCGTCGTCCATATCCTCCTCCTCCTCCTCATCCTATCTCTCCTGATGTCCTCGTTGTGATGTTGCTCGTCCTTCCCAGTGCTATCACTACCGTCTGTTCAAAATTCTGGGGAACAACAAAAACGCCCAATCTCCTCATCTTCCTCATCGTCCTCCTCGCTGTCGTCCGTCTGCATTCCCCTCGAATTACTGTTTCTTGGCGTTTCCGTATAAATGTCCCGTGGTGCGTGTACTGGATAGACTTCCTGTGTAGCTCTCACACAGAAATGCCGGCTCCATGAACCATGATGTCTTGGATGGGCCCGTTGCGAATACCGCGCTGCGTTGTAGATGTCTTGGGTACATCCCTGGGTACTCCCCTTGCCCGACAAGTCTTTTCTCGTGCCTTTTAGGAAGGCCCGAGCCGACAACAACAATGGGCCCTAAATGACATGGCCGTCGTGGGTCGCCCAAGCACTCAGGATTTTTGCGTGAGGCCACCCAACGGCCTAGAAAATAGGAGCGCAACATGAAGGCGCAAAGAGAGCCCAAAACCAAAAGCCGAAAACGGTTCAGAACTTCCTCGGGCTGGCCTCAAGGCAGCTCAAAAAGACACCCAACAAATGGCGAGGACTCTTAGACGCACGAAAAGGCAACCTTGAATTCGTCTGCGCGTTAACCCCTAAAGGTCTCTTGAACCCTCCCATCAATAGGGGGTAAACAATCATTTGTTCGGCGGCCGCATTGAAGGAGTGGGGTCCCACCAATAGGAGGGAACTTCTTTTTTTGTTTCCCCGCGGCAACCGCCGCGCAACAACGACGACGACAACTACGGCTACGATTGCGACTACGGCTACGACGACTTTTAAAAACGTCTGCCTCAGGAGCGCCATCGCGGAAAACCCCACCCTGGAAACCCAATTCTCAGAAACTCCCCCCTCAGAAGCTTCATCCTTAGAGGGGCAGTTGAGGCTCAGGTCCCACGGGGGCCCGCAGAAACTCCATCCTGAGAAGATCCACCCTCAGAAAGAGTATGAGCAACGCCTTCGGCAAAGAATAATTCCTCGGTCGCGCAAGGTAGTCCAGGGGGGCATTATTACCTGGGAGAAAACCTCCAAACGTTTTCCACTCCGACCAACAGTGAAGGGAAACTATTCCCCGCCGCGGCGACGACGACGCTTACGCGTACGACTGCGACTTAGATTGCGGAGAAACTTGCGATTGCAACCGCGACGACAATTACGACTACAATCGCGACAACCCTCTCGATTGTAGCCACGACTGCAGTCCCGACTACAACCACAACAACTGATTCCCATTGCAGTCACCATGCGAAGATGCTCACACATCGTCTCTCGCTCAGGGCAGGCCATAATTGATTTTTTCCTGAAGAAGGACCCCCCAGCATTATCAAGCACGCCCACCAATAATGGAATCACAATCTCCGCCGCGGCGACGACGACGACGACTAAGATAGTAGTAGCAGTAGTAGCAGGAGCAATAGTAATAGCAATCGTAATCGTGATCGTACTCGTAGAAGTCGTAGCCGTACTCGTAGTAGTAGTCGTAGTAGTAGTAATATTCGTCGTAGTCGTAGCCGTAGTCGTGGCCGTGGTAGTAGTAGTAGTACTAGCAGTAGTAGTAGTAGTAGTAGTAGTAGTAGTAGTAGTAGTAGTAGTAGAACCTGTGGTAGTAGTAGTAGTAGTAGTAGGAGTAGTAGTAGTAGTAGTAGTAGTAGTAGTAGTACTAGTAGTAGTAGTAGTAGCGGTTGTAGTAGTAGTAGTAGTAGTAGTAGTAGTAGTAGCAGTAGCAGTAGTAGTAGTAGTAGTAGTAGTAGTAGTAGTAGTAGTAGTAGTAGTAGTAGTAGTAAGAGTAAGAGTAAGAGTCAAGCTAGCCAGCTCGAGCGAGTCAAGCATGGCATGCCCAGTCCCACCCGCCCTCCCACAACATAAGAAGCAAAGCTGGCACAACTGGGGGCCGAAGTCACACCGGCCAGCCGGTTTGGTACAGCTGATGCGGCCGCGATGGCGGTTGCCGACGGGAACTGGCGAGCGCGTGTTGAATGCCGCGCACGCATTGCCAGACGAGTCGAGAATGGCCCGGTACACCGCAGGAAGCCAGAGGTGGCCGGAGGAAGCCCGACGGTCTGACAGGACACCCCAAAGCATTTTTGTGAAAAAGCATTGGGTTTTTGATGTTTTTATGTTGAAATGCTTGCAAACACACGGTGTTCGGTAGGATTCTGACATGAACGCGCGAGTGTGCTCTTTGTGGTATTTTTTGCACAGGATTCGCGGCCTGGGTGCATGACAGAGCATCGCGAGTGCACCGCGCGATGACGTGAAATCGCTGGATTTGACCGAATTCTTAAGATTCCTATGGTTTTCCTATGATTTCAGCAAGAGAGCCCGGGCGGGAAATTTGTACAATTTTTGTGAAAAAGCATTGGGTTTTTGATGTTTTTATGTTGAAATGCTTGCAAACACACGGTGTTCGGTAGGATTCTGACATGAACGCGCGCGTGTGCTCTTTGTGGTATTTTTTGCAATGGATTATCGCCGTGGACGACAGGACGTCCATGTCGAGAGGAAAAACAAGAAACATTTTGATTTTGTATTGTTTTTTTAAAGGTTAGGATGGGACCACCCGGATGCGGCCCCTATCGGCCGGCCTGAGGGGGGAGTAGGAGTATATTCTAATAAGGAATGAGGATAAGAGTAAGAGTAAGATTAAGAGTAAGAAAAATAGTACGAGTAATATTGAAAGTAAGAGTAAGCGTGGGAGTAGTAGTAGTAGTAGTAGTAGTGGTAGTAGTAATAGTAATAGTAATAGTAGTAGTAGTAGTAGTAGTAGTAGTAGTAAGAGAGACAGTAGCCGTAGTAGTAGTAGTAGTAGTAGTAGTAGTACTAGTAGTAGTAGTAGTAGTAGTAGTAGTAGTCGTAGTAGTATTAGTAGTAGTAGTTGTAGGAGTAGTAGTGAGGAGTAGTAGTAGTAGTAGTCGTAGTAGTAGTAGTAGTAGTAGTCGTAGTAACAGCCGCAGTAGCAGAAACAGTAATAGTAGTAGTAATCGTAGTAGCAGTAGTAGTCGTAGTAGTAGTAGTAGTAGTAGTAGTAGCAAACGTCGTCGTAGTAGTCGTAGTAGTAGTAGTAATCGTAGTAGTACTAGTAGTAGTAGTAGTAGTAGTAGTAGTATTAGTAGTAGTAGTAGTAAAAAGAGAGATAGTAGCCGTAGTATTAGTAGTAGTAATAATAATAGTAATAATATTAGTAGTAGTAGTAGTAGTAGTAGTAGTAGTAGTAGTAGTAGTAGTCGTAGTCGTATTAGTAGTAGTAGTAGTAGTAGTAGTTGTAGGAGTAGTAATAAGAAGTAGTAGTAGTAGTCGTAGTAGTAGTAGTAGTCGTCGTAGTAACAGCCGCAGTAGCAGAAATAGTAATAGCAGTAGCAATAATAGTAGTAGTCGTAGTACTAGTAGTAGTAGTAGAAACTAGTAGCAGTAGTAGTAGTAGTAGTAGTAGTAGTAGTCGTAGTAGAAGTAGTAGTAGCAGTAGTAGTACAAGTAGTAGTAGTAGTAGTAGCAAACGTCGTCGTAGTAGTAGTAGTAGTAGTAGTAGTAATAGGTAGTAGTAGTGGTAGTAGTAGTAGTAGTAGGAATAGTATCAGTCGTAGCATTGGCAGTAGTAGTAATAGTAGTAGTCTTTGTAGTAGTAGTAGTAGTAGAAGTAGTAGTAGTAGTAGTAGTAGTAGTAGTAGTAGTCGTAGTAGTAGTAGTAGTAAAAGTAGTAGTAGTAAAAGTAGTAGTAGTCGTAGTCGTAGTAGTAGTAGTAGTAGTAGTAATAATAACAAGCGTAGTTGTCGTACTAGTAAGAGTAGCGGTGGAAGCACTTGAACAAATCATCGTACTAATACTACTGGGAGGCCCCTAAGAGGGCCCCAAGACGGCCCAAGCTGGTCCCTAGACGGCCTCCAAGACGGCCAAACAGGGCCCCTAGAGCGCCCCAAAAGC